CCCCAAAAAAGGGGAAAGGTTATAAGCAAGCAAGAGAAAACCTGAATGCAAATATGTGGAAGGAAACTCAACCTCATTATTAAGCAGGAAAACATACATAAGAACAACAATGACACATTACTTCATAGAGATAAGATTGGCAAAAATTTTAAAGTCTGATTTTCAAGTTAGGGAGATAGTGGAATAATACTCTAATGCTGGTGGGAACGTATTTGGTACAACTGCTTTGGAAAACCATATGCAATCTAGCAAAGTTGAAGATGTATGTATCCTACAACCCATGAATTCTACTCCTTGTCATATGTCCTAGACATAGACATGTCTGAGAAAATTCATTTTAATTATTATTTTTTTTAAGTAGGCTCCATGCCCAGCGTGGAGCCCAATGTAAGGCTTGAACTCACAACCCTGAGATCAAGACCTGAGTTGAGATCAAGAGTCGAATGCTTAACTGACTGAGCCACTCAGGCAACCCCCGCCCCCAAGAAGATTCACTGTAGAAGAAATAAACTGCTATCTGGTATTATATGTATAGTTCATAAGTCTTCAAATTCAGTGTCTCTTCTGTTGAATGTTTGGTTCTTCTAGAGGGCAATAAGGAATTTATAGTATAGCCTGCACTGTTTATTCTTCTTTTCCAGTACATTAGGGAGCAGTCATGACCTGAATAAATCCTTGGAGAGTCTTCTGGACATTATCTTATTCTGTGGAGACCATGACACTATACTCTGAACATATCCTTCTCCTTCCTATTTTAAATTTTAGAAAATAGACTTAAAATAGGGCAGGATCTTGGTGTTTATGAATGTTTTTTAACCCCCCTTTGGGCCAATAATACATACGGGCTTCACATTTATTTACATTTGCTTATTTTCATTTATTTTTGCCCACTTTTTTCAGAGGATGAAGTTAGCGACTTCAGCCACTGGGTGGCGCAAATTCACAAGTGTCTGGTAAAAGTTTGTATATTCCAGCCCAAAGTGCCCCCGTTGCTACACTCTACCATATGAAGGAAGGTTAGTTAGAAAAAAGGCTTTGGGGACCTGAAATCTAACCATAGACATGGATCCAAGTTCTCTAGGAATTCCGATTAAGGGAAATTTCTGGTATTAGATGACTGGTGAGTCAGATCACTAAATAAGGAAAAGGAAAAGAAGGAAATGGGAAAGTGTTAGAATAAGGAACAGGAAGAGAAAGATGAAGGGATAAAGAAATACGAGAGAAAAAAATATATTAAAGTCCAGAGAGATAAATTCAAATGTTACCAACAGTTCCAGGATGGCCTCTTGTTGGTTTGCGTTTACCTGGTAACCAATAGCAGCTTTGATTTGAAGTAAAGATACCTCATTTTCTTCTAGGAAGTCAGTTATGCTACCCTCAGCTATCCATTTAGTGGAGTGACATTATCAGCATATGTGTTGAGTGTCTGCTATGCACATGGTGCTGTGTCAGATTCAAAGTAATATAGTCATATACAAATTAATACAGCTACTACAGGCTTCAGGCATAAGAACCAGGCAGTCCAGGCAGCATAGAGGAAGAGATAAATGGCAACGTGGGGCAGCATGTGTAAACTCCAGAAATAGAACCCTGAGAATGGAGGGTCCGATTGTGAGGCGAGGAGGGGCCATACGACTGTCAACCGGTCCAAGGCAAAGAAAAAACAAGGATTCCTAGCTCCCAGTCCTAAGTACATATAGCAACTATTCCTTGGAAAATGGCTATTTCTGGTCATAAACATGGGAAAAGTGCTTTGGGTCAGAATCCACTGAACACTGCTCAAAGAGGCTCTAAAATAAGTAGGGTGGGGTAAGAGGATGATTAGGAGAGACCCATCCTTAAGTCCCTCTCTGATTAGTAACCCAGAAAAGGAGGGATGCTAATGTCCTGCTCAGGCCTTTCAGAGGTCCAGGGAGTCCTAGGTCGCTTTGCTTTTGGAGATCACAGGTATATAAATGAATCACAGGTTAAAAATGAAGAAATGACAGAACAAAATATAAAACTTACATATGTTAAGTCTTTATATTGAAGAAAGTTAGGCTTTTAACACACAATTGCAACTATTAATGTGATTCAACAATACCTTTAAAAGTTTAAATTGGAGGGTTCCTGTGAATGTTCCTTTTCTGTCCTAAGCAATTACCCACCTTAATCTTTGGGCCTATCAGAAGGTTTTGGGGTCACTAAAGCCCAAGAGAGAATGACTGCCAGGCTTCTCAACTCTAAGACTTGGGAAAAAAAAAAAAAAAGCACAACTTAATACTTGTGCCAACTGGGGCCAACTGGCTGGCTCAGTCAGTAGAGCATGTGACTCTTAATCTCAGGGTCATGAGTTTGAGCGCCATGTTGGGTATAGAGATTACTTAAAAAATAAAGAAAGAAAAATTTAGGGGCGCCTGGCTGGCTCAGTCAGTAGAGTATGCGATTCTTCATCTTGGGGTTGTGAGTTTGAGCTCCATGTTGGGCATAAAGATTACTTAAAAATTAAAAAAAAAAAAAAATCTTAAAAAAATAAAAAAATTACTTGTGCCAACTGGAAACACAGCAGTAATGTATTAACCAAAAAAGAAGGACAGGTTTAAAATAGTATGGAGAATATGATGTGATTTGTGAAACATGTGTCTTTATTTATAATGTCTGTAGAGAGATACATCCAAGTATTAACAGTGGTTATCTTTGGGAGGGGGGATTAGGTATCATTTCTTTCTTGTTTTTTCATTTATTCTTTTTTTTTTTTTTTTTTTTTAATATTTTATTTATTTATTCATGAGAGTCAGAGAGAGAGAGAGACGCAGAGGCAGAGGGAGAAGCAGGCTCCCCGCCCAGCAGGGAGCCCGATGCGGGACTCGATCCCAGGACCCTGGGATCATGACCCGAGCCGAAGGCAGACGCTCAACCATCTGAGCCACCCAGGCGCCCTTTTCATTTATTCTTTACACTTTCCAGCATTTCCTAAAAATTGTTATAATGAAAGTGTCCTTTAATAATCAAAAAACAAAGTGTGGTAACTTAATGAGAATGAATTTGCCATAAAAATCTTCCTGGCTTGTCACTTCCCAGCGGAATAATTGGCACTCCTTAGAAACTTTTTTATCGAGGGGCACCTGGGCAGCTCAGTCATTAAGCGTCTGCCTTCAGCTCAGGTCATGATCCCGGGGTCCTGGGATGGAGCCCCACATTGAGCCCCCGCATCGGGCTCCCTGCTCAGCAGGAGTCTATAGCTGAGTCTAGAGTGGTGACGACAGGGAGAATTGTGCCTTGCTGTGAAGGGACTAAAAGTTCACATCCCAAACTCCACATGAGAGTTCTCCCCCCCAACAGAAGGGAATTCTGTTGTCTGTCCCGTCTCTCCAAAGATCCCTACCGGTTCTATGGGATTCCAAACTGTTAACTAATTAGGGAGTCAGAAAAGCCTCAGAGGACCCTTGCTGTGTCAGAGGAAACACGTTGTCCTCAAAGCAAAGTACACAATTTTGATTCCGTCAGTGAATTTCTATAAAGTCAGTACAAACGTTACCCAGATCATATTCTTGCAGAAGATGTAAGAAATGTAAACTTTGCCACAGTTTTCGTCTCCTAGGGAACCTCATGTTTCTGGATTAAAGGACATGCTGTGGTGGGTGAGGCTGGGAAGGGTGGGGATGAATGTAGGCATCAGTCCTAGACCAAGAGTTTCTAAGTATAGAATGTTTTTAATCATCCTCCCTAGTGGTCTTGGGAAGGAGCAAGCTTTTTTCTTTTTCTCCCCATATCTAATGTTTAGACTGAGCCCCAGGATAAACTGGAGGCGATGTCGTGAATCAGTGTGGGGTGCAAATGATATGCTCATTTATCCAAATGGCAGCCCCAGTGCTCTGTCCTCTCCACCTCCTGTATTTTCAAAACTATCATCTTCCATGCTTTGTATCTGTTCTCTCTTCCAGGCTTAGCTTGAATAATAAATTGGAGCTTGGAGTGAGATATTTTCCCCTGTTGGTATAGTTTAGAGAATAACTTTTTTGGACAGTACCTGAAGTGAAAGAGAGAAGGATACAATCCGTATGTGGTTTTTACCCGAGAACTAAGAAAACAGAATTACTTAGTGACAGTTAAATATGGCCAAAATGAAATGGAATGGTTTCAACACTCTCATACTAGAAGCAGGATGACAGTCTTATCTCTGCTGCCATTCCCTTTTCTTAACCTGTTCCCTTCAACATCCACTGTTTCTGCTTCCTTGCCAGACTCTTACTTGAGCAGGTCAGACTTGACTCAGAGCTGTGCCTTTGTAAGGAAGATCATCAGAATCATTTTGCTCTGGAATCCTTGTTCAAAATGTATTCAGCTCAGCATTGTGGTTTAGGGTGTAATGTCAGGCCTGCTTGAAGAGTTGTGGATCATCAGGAGACCTTATGTGTGTCCTATTTTATGCAGTCCCTAAACCCTTTGGGGATGACTTAGAAGAAGGACTTCTGGAATGCTTAGGGTCATGTTTCCCTCACCAGTGTGTGGATAGCTCCGTGTAGGGCAGAGGCTAAGTCTTAAAACCCTATGAACATCAGCCTGGGAAGACAGGAACCCCCACCCTAAGCCAGCTGAGAGCCAGTGAGCATGAATTCAGCTGTGAGGATGACAGAGGCGTTGGTGAACGGTGCCACACTGGTGGCTGTTTTGCCACTTGGAGGCTATGTTTAAACCTTTTGTCAAAGACAGCAATAGGTCCATTCATAGTGCTCGGAGGGAAGACTTTTTGTTCTCATTTGATGAGAGGAAAAGATACCCGTTCTCCGTGAGGGATGAAGTGAATCTCAGAGGTGTGGGCTAAGATAGTAGCAGCAGCATGAGGGTAAGTCTGACTGCTAAGCCCAGGCTCCCCCTTCATTGGCCTGGCATTACTGTTTGATTGTCCTGTCCCTGCTGAAGATACGAGTGAATTCGCAAGGACCTGCCAATATTGGTTAATGACAGGGAGAAGACCATGTGGTATCCTTCATTCCATGTGTGAAGCAGAGAAGAGCTTTTCAGAAGTATGTCTCGTGGATGATAGTGATCCCTGCAGCTTTCTTTGGGCTTGATGAGTTGGGAGCATCTTGTCCAACCTAGAGATTGAAAGGAAATGAGCGGTAAAGAGGATGCAAATCGGTATTCCTTCATGTACCAACACAGAGATGGCTTAGTACAAAACCCAGTTTAATTCCAAGTACACATCATTTTGCCTCTTTGTTACCCAGCAATTCTAGGAAAAGTTATTGTATTTACACAGAAAGTATCAGCAAGGTGCATTTATTTATGCATGAGAACCTACAATTGGTTGGGCCCTATAACCCACTAGCAAAGAGCCCATCCACCCCTTGCTTGACCCATTTGCCTTGAATGGAAAAGGCTACTTTGGATCCCAGTTGCACAGGGATTCTACTTCATTTCTTGAATCAGACCCACACAATCTCACTATGTTTGAAAAGGGACAGAGATCTGAGTCTCTGTGGACCAAATATTTTATACTAATCCCATTCCACTCTTGGTATATCTCATTCCATATCCCATCCGATTTTCTGTGTTCTTTCTAAAGGCTTAACTATTTTTTTTATAGATTTTATTTATTTATTTGAGAGAGAGAGTGAGAGAGAGAGAGACCACAAGTGGGATGAGGGGCAGAAGGAGAAGCAGGCTCTCTGCTGAGCAGGAAGCCCAATGCGGGGCTCGATCCTGGGACTCCGGGATCATGCTCTGAGCTGAAGGCAGACGCTCAGTCGACTGAGCCACCCAGGTGCCCCTAAAGGCTTAACTATTATGAACATAGACTGTGACCCTCTTAAAGTTAGGGAACTTGGTGCATAGAAGGTTTTCAGTAAAATTTCAGTATAGGAATGAAAGACCTGGATTTCAGTTCTGTTTCTACCAGCTGTATGTCACACAACCTCTCTGAGCCTCAGTTTAAGTATCAATAAAATGTAGATAACCTGCTCTAGCTACCTCCCACAGTTTTTGTGAGGCTCAAATGAGATAAAATTGCTTATTATTCTTTTTATTAATTCCTTTATCATTTAGTAGCTTATTTTGTTGATGGGAAGAATTCAGTCAGTGTTGCTACTACATGGTTACCTCTAACTCTGGACTAGACTCTTTATTCCCGTTCAGGCCTATCTCTTCCACTGTTCAGTAGAAATGATAATGCAGATTGGAGTGAAGAACTAAACATACATCCTATGTTTAATCATACTAATTTACATGAGCTCATCATCCAATATTAGTAGAAACCGGATTATAGAAAATAGTAACCTTGGGCGCCTGGGTGGCTCAGTTGGTTAAGCGACTGCCTTCGGCTCAGGTCATGATCCTGGAGTCCCGGGATCGAGTCCCACATCGGGCTCCCTGCTCGGCAGGGAGTCTGCTTCTCCCTCTGACCCTAACCCCTCTCATGTGCTCTCTCTCATTCTCTGTCTTAAATAAATAAATAAAATCTTAAAAAAAAAAAAAGAAAATAGTAACCTAGACCAGAGATGACAAATAAGTTGGCATAAGAAACTGTGATAAATACTCTGTGATAAGAAATACTCTGATGCCATAGCTGGATAGAAAGAGTGCTGTGCTTCAGTTTCAAAGATTGAGATATAATTTACATAGAACATTGTGTAAGTTTGTGTATAGTGTCTTGACTACATACATTTTTTTCAAGATTTTATTTATTTATTTGAGAGAGAGAGAACTAGCATGAGCAGGGAAGGGGGGGAGGCAGAGGAAGAACAGACTCCCCGCTGAGCAGGGAGACCAATGCGGAACTTGATCCTAGGACCCCGAGATGACCTGAGCTGAAGGCAGACGCTTAACCGACTGAGCCACCCAGGTGCCCAACTGCATACATTTATAGATTGCAATATGATTACCACCCTAACACCTCTATCATGTCATAATAATTACCAGTTCTTTTTGTGGTGAGGACATTTAGGATCTAGTCTCTTAGCAGTTTTGAAGTATATAATACACTACTGTTGACCATAATCACTATTTTGTGTGTTAGAGCTCCAGAACGTATTCAGCTTCTAGGGCACTGTGCTTGATTATTGATATGTGCAGTCGACACAGAATTAAAGAGTAGACACATGTGTACCATCCTAGACTAGATAATCTTTGAGACCCATTCTCAATGCTCTAATTCTGAAAAAATGGATTCCTTTTTTAATTTAATTTTTAAAAAGATTTTATTTATTTATTTATTTTAGAGAAAGAGTGCAAATGGGGGGAGGAGCAGAGGGGGAGGGAGAGGGAGAAAGGGAAAGAATCTCAGGCTGACTGTGCTGAGTGAGGAGCCCAACACAGGGCTTGATCTCACAACCCTGAGATCATGAGCTGAGTCAAAACCAAGAGTCGGTCGCTTAACCAACTGCACCAACCAAGCGCCCCCCCTTCTTTAATTTTAAAATTATTGGAGACCTCATCTTAGTGAGTGTTGTGGATGTTGTAGAGAAGGCACACATCAGTTTCTGGTATTGAAAGGCTGAGTCCACTTCTGACAGGGAAACTGGATTTAAATTTTTTTTTTTTTAAAGATTTTATTTATTTATTTGACAGAGAGAGAGACAGCGAGAGAGGGAACACACACAGGGGGAGTGGGAGAGGGAGAAGCAGGCTTCCCGCGAGTAGGGAGCCCGATGCGGGGCTCGATCCCAGGACCCTGGGATCATGACCTGAGCCGAAGGCAGACGCTTAACAACTGAGCCACCCAGGCGCCCCAGGGAAACTGGATTTAAAGCAGCCATGCTGAAACAGTGGTAGTGTGTTTGTTTTAGACACTAAAGGGCAATATGAGCTTATGATGCTGTCAGGAAAACCAAAGGCCAAGAGGAAAGAAGCTACTTTGCCAAGTATTCAAACTTTTCAGGGTGGTGGTTCCTAAACTTTGTTGTGTATATAAGAGTTACCTGAGGGCAGGGGTGGATACATATGCTGTGGGTTCTGAACTCTTACAATTTGGGGTACCTTTTTTTAAGGAAAAAAATACAAATTTTAAGAATACAAAATTAGATACAAGCTTTATACAAGTCCCATGGGTCCTTAAGTTTAAGCTTCATTAGTTTCACAATAAATCCACCTCTGCTTAGGGGGGTCGTTAAAAATCTTAAAAAATAAGATTCCTGGCCTCACTCTAGACATTTTGAATGATTATATCTGGGGCTCAGAAATAATATATTTTCAATAAATACCCTATTATGTTATGGCTGGGCTGATGTTAGGAAAATAAAATAGTAGTACAAGTACCTCCCTATTTCCTGACACATAAAAGAAACGCCAACATTTGCTTCGTAAGTGAAGCAGCTCCCTATCTCCCAGCACTTATATATTAACCTCATTTTTTCCAAGCAAATGACATAGACCATACAGAGACCACTTTCCTTCTTGGGCTGAGACTCAAGCTGGGATTCAGCTGCCCCAGGTTGCTGGCCTTCTTCCTTTGCCTTCTGCCCAACCACTGGCATCGGCATAGCTCTCTGCTCCCCAGCACTGACTCCGAAGAGAAAAAGTAACTGGTGATAGTTTTAGGTGGCCGGTATGCATTTGGCCAGGCCATTTTAAAAAAATCATCTTTTTTAAAGAAAACACTCAATCTCGTTGGATCTGTCGTCCGTAAAGAATGTCCAAGTCCAGCAGAGGGCAGGAACTTGCATTTAGCAAGCGCCACCAATGTGCCAGGTGCCTTTCACACAGGATCTTAATTAACCTTCAAAAACACCATGAGAGGCAAATATCATTAGTCCCATTTTACAGATGAGCCAACTCATGTTGGGGAAGTCAAACAACTTTCTCAAAGCCATTCTGCTTGAGTGTGAGTGGCAGTTCTATCCAAACCCCAAAGTCCATGCTTTTTTCATTATGTGAGCCTGCCTCTGGAACAGAAAAAGAAAGTCTTTATAAACATGTTTTTTTTTTTTTTTTAAGTAGGCTCCGTGCTGGACATGGAGCCCAATACAGGATTTGAACTCACAACCCTGAGATCAAGACCGGAGCTGAGGGGCGCCTGGGTGGCTCAGTCATTAAGCGTCTGCCTTCGGCTCAGGTCATGATCCCAGGGTCCTGGGATCGAGCCCCGCATGGGGCTCCCTGCTCAGCGGGAAGCCTGCTTCTCCCTCTCCCACTCCCTCTGCTTGTGTTCCCTCTCTCACTGTGTCTCTCTGTCAAATAAATAAAATCTTAAAAAAAAAAAAAAAAGACCGGAGCTGAGATCAAGACTGATCTTGATCTGAGCCACCCAGGTGCCCCCAGAAGAAAGTCTTTATAGATCCAGTCCAGGGACCCAATACATTAACAAACTTACAGGGCATGGGACTTCAAAAAGGACAAACACTATCATGGCGACTCCACTGAGCAACAGGGTGACAGCAATCAGAAATTTGACCACAGTGCTCCATTTCTGCCTCTTCTTTAGGTTCTCATCTGTGTCTAAAAGGAGAGAGGAGTAGAAGAGGGAGAAGAGAGAACTTGAGAGAGGGAAGAGATTGATCCTCTGATTTGAAGTTCTTCTAGCTCCCCCAGACTAATAGGGGCCCAGCCCGATGCAGAGATAATAGGCTGAATTTCCATTTCAGACTCAGAGTCAGGAGTGGGGTGGGCCTCGCTCTAACCTCCTTTGCAGCCTCCTTCCAATGAGTCACCTTCCCTGGGATTTGGGATTGGCCATGATCAAGTAGGAATGATTCTTGCATTGTTTTCAGGGGAGGAAGGAGGTGGGTGCGCAAGGAGTTCTGAATTCATCTTTCACCAGCACCCTCTCAGGGTCTCTCCCCTTGTGCTCAGACAGACACACTGTGTGGGATCAGAAAATCACCTTCCCTATTCTTCTCTTGACTATATTGGGGAGTAGGAGGAACAAGGGTGAATTGGCATCACTTTTGGGTCAAAGGCAAACTTGGGGACAAATCGCTCATACACATCTTGTTATTACTAATCTTTTTTTTTTTTTTTTAAGATTTTATTTACTTATTTGACAGAGAGAAACACAGCGAGAGAGGGAACACAAGCAGGGGGAGTGGGAGAGGGAGAAGCAGACTCCCTGTGGAGCAGGGAGCCTGATGCGGGGCTCCATCCCAGGACACTGGGATCATGACCTGAGCCGAAGGCAGGCGCTTAACGACTGAGCCACCCAGGCGCCCCTTGTTATTACTAATCTTATATTTACATTTCTCCCAAGGGAACTGGGATGTAAACTAAACTGGAATATTACAGAATTTGAGTCCTGGCCAATTTAGGAAGAGCCATTTCCTAGAAACAGTGCAGATGAAAGCATGCACTTGGTTGTTGTCCTCATTGCAATGATGCTTGGTGTTTTAGATGTTCATCTATACATGCAATGGCTGGAATCCCCTACCACACAAGTACAATTCATTCTGTCCCCAAAATGGCCACAAGCTCACTTGTGTGGAGGCAAATGATTATTAATAGTGTCAAACTACATACATTTCTGGGACCTTCTTTAGAGAAGCTGATTTTTTAAAAAAAGATTTTATTTATTTATTTATTTGACAGAGACGTAGAGAGAGAGAGCACAGATAGGCAGAGCGGCAGGCAGAGGGAGAGAGAGAAGCAGGTTCCCCGCTGAGCAAGGAGCCCAACGCAGGGCTCAATCCCAGGACCCTGGGATCATGACCTGAGCCGAAGGCAGACGCCCAACGACTGAGCCACCCAGGCGCCCCTGTCTAAATAAAGTCTTAAGTCAACTTCTTTGAGAGAGGTTTGGGGAAAGCAGAGGGAGCTGGAAGAAGGAGAGACCACCCAGCTTCATGCACTCCTCAATTTCATTCTTTCAGAAAGAAAATTTTTTAAGTAGGCTCCACCCAACATGGCCGCCAACATGGGGCTTGAACTCATGACCCTGATACCAAGACCTGAGCTGAGATCAAGAGTCAGACATTTAACTGACTGAGCCATCAGGCAACCCAGAAAGTAAATTTTTTTTAAGATTTTTTTTTTTAAGATTTTTTATTTATTCATTTGACAGAGAGAGACACAGCAAGAGAGGGAACACAAGCACGGGGAGTGGGAGAGGGAGAAGCAGGCTTCCCATGGAGTAGGGAGCCCGATGCGGGGCTCAATCCCAGAACCCTGGGATCATGACCTGAGCCAAAGGCAGGCACTTAACGACTGAGCCACCCAGGCGCCCCAAAGCAAATATTTTTAAATGAATATCCATTCTGTACCAGGGACTGAGATTTTATTTGTTTATTTGATAGAGAGCACAAGCAGGGGGAGCAGCAGGCAGAGGGAGAGGGAGAAGCTGACTCCCCTCTGAGCAGGGAACCCGACGCAGGACTCCATCTCAGGACCCTGGGATCATGACTTGAGCTGAAGGCAGGTGCTTAACCTTAGACTGGGCCACCCAGGAGCCCCAACTTTATGTTATTTTAGAAGGAGGTAAGTGCTAAAAAAAAAAAACAAACTAAAAGCAGAGCAAGGTTAGGGCGAAGTCTGGCGGTGTAGGTGGGCAGTGGGGGGCAACCTGCAATACAAGCTGGTTTCCTTGAGAAAAGAAGTGAGCAAGGCTTGACAGAAGTAGGGGATTAGCTAAGCACACACCTGGGAAAGCAGTGATCTAGGCAGAAGGTACAGCTAGGATAAAGGTCCTGAGGTGGTGTGAGTGTGTCAGACGTGTTACAGTTTTAGAGAAGCAAGGAGGCCAGTGAGACTGGAATGGAGTGAGCACAGGGCAGTTGGAGATGAGGAAAGTTCTAAAGGTAACGGGCCTATATCAAGAGCCTCGTAAGCTACTTTAAGGACTTTGGTTTTTATTATGATTGAAATGGGGATCCATTGCAAGGTTTTGAGCAGAAGTGGTGGATGGCTTTGTTTCGAAAGGATCACTGACCTGCTGTGTTAGAAATAGACTGTAGGGGGCAAGCGTCAAAGCAGAGAAACCTGTTAGGAGGCCATTGCAGAAACCCAAATGAAAGATGCTGGTGACTCAAACCAGCCGCTGAAGTGTTGAGACATAGCTGGATTCTAGCTGTGGTCTAACTAACTAACTAACTAACTTCACTTGGCTCCAGAATTGACCTAATCTAATTCACACAGGTTCCTATTTTGTTTCTAATGGTCTCTAATCATTGCTTATTAAATTAAGGTCTGTAAGTCCTACTTGACTTTTCTAAATTACTTTCCGAAGTCTTGATTAAGTCCATGTGAAATGATAGTTCTTGCCTTCAGAGGCCAACGGCCACAGTACCAGGCACTGCATGTAAAATTACAGAGGAAGGAATAGTCCCTGCCTTCAGTTTAATCAGGAAGACAGTGTTGGCAAAGATCGGCAGAGATGGAGAGCCAACAGGTTGAGAAGGAAAAATAAGGAAATTATATTAAATATTTCCAGCATGGTGCCAGTCAGTTCTCTGAAGTAATAATGTATGTGTTTCTGAGACAGATGAGAAGGAAGATAAATCTCACTTTGGACGAGTCACATAAGTTCTTTGTGTTTTGGTTTCCTTATCTGTAAGATGGTTATAATAAAGTAATTCTTGGCCTACCTATTTCACGGCGTTAATGGGAAGATCAGAAACAAATAAAAATGAGGAAACAGGTGTGAAAACACTTTGCACACCGAGTGATATTGTGATTGAAAGAGAAGGGAAAAACCTAGTGATCCTCTAGTAGAAGAACTGTGCCCTCTAGCCACAGGGATAATGGTATTTCAATGTGGCATGTCTTCCCACCTCCTGGGAGCCACTGTTTCAAAGTCTTCTTAATAGGCTTCATCTGTCAGTGTATTTTCAGTTCTGCTTAAGCTTTGAAATTAATGTCCATCTATGTTGGCAGCTCTTTTAGGTCTCATCTGCTAGGTAACTGAGCATTAAGGTGGAGCACATCTGTAAATACAACCACTCCATTCCCGGTGATGATGGAATTGCAGTATTAGTTTTTTGTTGGCTAAGGATATTTGAGCAAGAATGCCCCCCTCTCAGATGTACAAACTCCAAATCTATGAAATGGATAACTTAGCAGATGATGCTTTGCTTTATTACAAAATAATTTATTTTAAATAGGGAACATTAGATACAGTATATTTAAATGGAAATCTCTCTTGGAGATTATTCTGTAATAATACTAGAAGGTCAAAAGGGCTTATTTGAGAGGTCTTACCTATTGCTGTTGAGTCTGTGCTTCAGATTTAAACCTCCCTTTGTATATCTAGAAATGATATCATCTAGTCAAATCTCTCATTTGTAGCTGTAGAAACTGAGCACTGGAGAAATTAAGTAACTTGTCAGAGATGATAATATCAGAATGAACACTTGTTTGATGTTATCTCTCCTACACCCTAGTTTCACATGGGGTAAACAGTCCTTAGAAATTGGTTCACACTTGGGGCACCTGGGTGGCTCAGTCGTTGGGCATCTGCCTTCGGCTCAGGTCATGATCCCAGGGTCCTGGGATCAAGCCCCGCATCAGGCTCCCTGCTCCGCAGAGCGCCTGCTTCTCCCTCTCCCACTCCCCCTGCTTGTGTTCCCTCTCTCGCTATCTCTCTCTCTCAAATAAATAAATAAAATCTTTAAAAAAAATTGGTTCACATTAATCAAATTCCAAGGAGCCTAATCTATATACTAAAATGACATTTAAAGAAACTTACATAGAATGTATCCATCAAATGGATCAGGTAGGATTTTTCTCTTCTAGGGATCCTGTTCTAAACATATAGGTTCTTTTGAAATCTAATTAGAAAGTCTAGATTTATATAGAATCTGAGCAATAGGAACTAGATGGTATAAACTATATTATATCATAAGTGAAAAACACCTAATGAGTCATCTTTGTCCACCAGAAAGAAATTTGGGGATATTTATAGTAAAGGATCTTTTCATTGGCCCAATTCCATAAACAGTAACAAATAGTCTCCATCTGACGTTTTTCTACATTCCATGTTGACCCACATCTTCTGATGACTGTGTTGTAGTATATTATCATCCTTCCAGTTTCAAATTCCTACTTTGCTCTGGGAACATTTTCATAAACTGTCTTCTGATTGTTTCTGGGACATCCTTTTGTGCAGACTGATGTCAACCATAGTGTGGTAATTTCAGAGGGCATCTCTTTTATGACCTTGTATATTTGGCCTTTTATTTAATTTTTATTTCTACCCTACTTGGTGTCTCTCACATCCTGGTATTCAATGTAAATTTAAATTCAGAATTGGCAGTTTCAAACTTATAAATGGAATGATATTTCAAAAGTCCATATATAAGTTGGTTGTTTGGAATTCACCATTATTCCATAGAAATGTATCATGAATGTTGATTAAGTCCACAAACTAGCCAACAAACATCCATTTAATCTCTTTGCACAGTTCAAGTAGTACTGGCTATTAGCCTACATTCTGAATTCAGGAACCAACCACCATGCCATGAAGGAAGGAGGAAGAAAGAAGCCCAGGGCAAATTTTTGAATTGGGTCAGGTTGATCTCTGGCATCCTTCCACCCCCTTAATCACCCAGTTTCCCTTGTTCCAAATTTCTAAGAACAAGTGTCCTTAATTGCCCAAATCCTACAATGCATAGCACTATATCCAAGAAAAATCCATCCTGCACAGAGTGCTCTAGACTCTAGAATGACTTAAGTTCACTAATATCGACACCTGCCATTGGTGGAGGGGTGTCACATGTTAGGAAAACAATCTGGTTGAATTACTTCACATTAATATTGAATAACCGAAAACCCCCAAATGCTGTCAGAATTTTTTTCAGTTTTTAATAAGAGGGTTTTTTTTTTTCCCACACAAATCGTTACCATATAAACTCTAGAAAGTACAATAAAGGGAGTGAAAACATTCATATCATGTGAGGATATATAATTTACTATACCTAGAATTACACCTCCCAAGAATCTCTCCACTTATTTCCCAATCTCTAGTCCTCTAAACAGACCATAGTTTTTAAAGTTTTTTTTTTCCATTATCCTACTTGGGAACCCCCAGTTTCTCTACAAGTGTTAAGTTTTATTTTTCCAGCAGTGCAGCAGTGGCATCTAGGGGATTGCCTGTATGTAAAGGGAAACTGCCAAAATCATAAACTGCTTGACAGAAAGAATGGGTGGGGGAAGGAAAGGAGGGCAGAACAGAGAGACTTAACTGATGTCAAGAACCATTGCCCAGGGGCGCCTGGGTGGCTCAGTTGGTTAAGTGACTGCCTTCGGCTCAGGTCATGATCCTGGAGTCCCGGGATCGAGTCCCACATCGGGCTCCCTGCTCAGCGGGGAGTCTGCTTCTCCCTCTGACCCTCCTCCCTCTCATGCTCTCTCTCAAATAAACAAACAAAATCTAAAAAAAAAAGAACCATTGCCCAGCACTTAGGGGGAACAGGCATTTTCACGGTGGGGGTGGAAGGGCAAAGTGGAATCACCGGATGGAAGGTAATGTCGCAGTAGCTAACAAACCTGTGATGCAGCAGAACTGCTTCTTGGAATTTACCAGGTGGATAAATTGTAGGTACACAGAGAAGAATGGATAAGGTCATTGCTTGCAATATTGTTTGTGTTTACAAAAGATTAGAAACCAAAATATCCATTGACAGGAATCTGGTGGAATAAATTATAGTACAGGGGCGCCTGGCTGGCTCAGACGGTAGAGCATGCGACGCTTGAGCTTGAGCCCCATGTTGGGCTTAGACATCACTTAAGGGAATAAACAAAAATTATAGGCATATAAAGGAATACTGTACAATTGTTGAAAGAGACAAAGTCATACATACTGATATGCAACAACCTATAAGATACATTGTTAAATGGAAAAAAAGCAAGGTACAGAACAGTGTGTATGGTATGCTACCATTTAGGTTTTTAGATGTATACGTCCGTCTATGCTTAGAGTAGGAAGGAGATTCAGTTAAGTTGGTAATAGTGGCTCCCTAGAGAACTGGAAGATTGAGAGATTGGAGTAGGAGGGAGACTGACTTTTCACTATAAATCCATGCTGTTTAAATATTTTATTGTCTGCATTCAAAATAAAATTCCAATAACCATTGTCAAGAGAAGACCCATCAGAAATGAAAACCCCAGCATGTCAGGGTTAGAAGGGCCCATAGAGATTAAAAAAACCCTGATGTTCAGAGAAGACACAGATCTGCCCAGGAGAGGATAGTATGTATCCTTGAGGGTTTAGCTACCACTGAGGCCCACCTGGCTTCAAGGATGTCAGCTAAAAGCCAGTGCCTACCTTCATCTCATTTTCCAGTCTCACCTTTGCCTGTTAGAAGGGATCCAGTCTGAAACTTGGATGTGGGGGTTAAGTGACAGTTTGGGGAGTAGTGCTGTTTCTGCAGGGAGCAGCAAGGACTCTCAGGTTCTTCAGCGTTTGCTTGACCTTTGACCTTTTCTCTGAATACACAAGGTTGACTTTGACTTTGCTCCCAGAGCCAAGGCACTGCAGGGTAGCCACAGTCTGATTTTGAATGAATGTAGACCTTTTGGTTTCTGGAAGGAGAAAAGCCAGACAGAAAAATGAAGCTGGTTCTTAATCTGAATGGTACCCAGCTAAGCAGCTTCCACTCGTGACCCCTGTTAAAACTCCACTGCTGTACTTGCTTCTCTTTTTTTAGTTCACTTCCTCCTCAACATGTGTTTATGGTCCTAAGTATACAAGCCCTGCCTTTCCTCCTTCCTGCCATGGGTCTCAGGAAGATAGGTGACTGTGATAAATTCAGCCCAGAGAAACACTCCTAGACCGTTTCCTCCAATGCAGAGAGGGTTGCGCGCTGCCTCCTTCTCTTTCTTCACCCTCAGTTGTTTGATTTACATAGCCATGCCTTAGGTCATGAGTGTTAATTTAAAAACTGGTTTCCAGAAAGCCTCTTGAGGGGACACATATCTTTAAAATAGGATATTTGAGATCTGGGCTGGGAATTGGGGGAGACGGGCATCTTTTAAAGGTAAAGATTTTCCAGAATGGCAAGGGGATTTTTCAGGAAGGGCCCATTCCCTACCTTGCACGAGCACATCCCTGATTCTTCTCACATCCTTTGGGAAGAACCCTGGCAGCTGTCCCACATGGCAGCTGCTATCTCTGAGTTCTGGAAACAAAAAGAAAAAAAGGTCAGGATTTACAATTTATTGGGTACTGTTCAGAATTCCAGGTATTGGAGACGGGGATTGCAAAAGAATGCAGTGTCTTCTCATAGAGCTGGCAATTGGGGAGATCAAACACTATCAAAAAAAGATTTTAAAATAATGATTTTATCTAGTACAAAGAAAACTGAGCACCAATCCATTACACTTAGGGGGGAAGAAAAGGTGAAAAAGAGTTAAGTGAAATTAGCTAATAAGTTAATGAAAAGACTAACCAACCCATTCCTTCAAATGCTGCTTGTTATCTCTTCTCCTCCTTGTTCTAGCTGCCTTCTTATATTAAAACTTCTGAAAGTTTATTAAATGTAACTCTGAACAAGGTATCTCTTCAGGTTTCCATGGAACCACTAATGCTTTTTGGCACTTAACTCACAGGATGTTGTGAGTTTTCTTCATCTGTTAAATTTGTTACTGCTGTGCCTTGAGCTGTTTGGCCGTAACTCTGATCAGCTAATTTTAGAGATGAAATGTTTGGACACTTTGGAAAAGCATGTTTTAAATAAACAGTTACCAGATAGCAGCAAACGGTGCCATTCCAGCCTACCCCCCTTACCCTCACCTCCCTCTACCCAAGAGCATCCCCATCTGTTTGGATGTACCACCTTAAAAAAGGAAGACAGCATCTTGTGAGGGTTATGAATTTGGGAGTGGTAGGTGTTGACAATACTGAAACTGTGACAGCACCCTCCAGTAAAGAAAGACATCTAATGGTGACAGCACTTTGAATGTTCGTTACATGAATAAGGCAGAAGAATGCATCATATTCTCTGAAGAATTCTTACCGTGGGGGGCACCTGAGGAGCTCAGTCTGTTAAGTGTCTGCCTTCTGTTCAGGTCTTGATCCCAGCATCCTGGGACAGAGCCCTGCTTCCTGGGGAGTCTGCTTCTCCCTCTCCCTCTGCTCCTCCCCCGGCTTGTGCTCTCTCTCTTCCTCATTCTCTCAAATAAATAAATAAAATCTTTCAAAAAGGGGGCGGGAAGACTTCTCACCATGGAACAGCTATCTCTCTGAGTTGAAGTAAGTTACAGTCCTGCCTAGAAGTAAGAGAATACATGGGATAACTGTAAAGCGTCACCTACTGAGAACTGGCTTTATCTCAATCTGGTGGAATAGACCTCCAAACAGTCTAGGTGTCTCTTTGGATTTTCTAGGATATTAGACTACAGAAGTACTTACCTTTCTTGCTGACATCATAGGACATGATGATTAGGCTAAAAACCAAGCACATGCTGCTAATCTGCCACAGCCCCTTTGTCTTCTTGCAAGGCGCTTGCACTACTGTCCTGGAACCAAGTTTGACCCCAGGAGAGTCTGGTTCCAACCTATTTTTGCCCCATTTCCTGAAGACCCAGGAATAGAGCTGATTGGAGAGAGAACCAAATGTGCTTGTTAGTGATTGACTCAAAAAGTCTTCCTCTGACTTCATAGCTGGTGCCGACATAAGGAACTGTAATTACCTAGAGGTTTCCCTAGAAGAAAGGACATAAACACCCAGTGATATGCTTTACAAATACTTGCACATGGACATGGAGACATTCACATGCATGCTCACTACATGGGCACATAGATTTATACACTGACACAAAGAGATGTGGAGATTTCTCTTAAGGAAAACGATTGAAGAATAGAGTGGGGGGACGCCTGGGTGACTCAGTCGGTTAAGCGTCTACCTTCGGCTCAGGTCATGATCCCAGGGTCCTGGGATCGAGCCCCGCATTGGGCTCTTTGCTTGGCGAGCCTGCTTCTCCCTCTACCTGCTGCTCCCCCTACTTGTGCTCTCTCTCTCTGACAAATAAATAAATAAAATCTTTTTTTTAAAAAAAAGAATAGAGCAGGAAACTAGGACTGAATGAGTTAGTGAACTACACTGGAGAGAGCACTGGACTAAGAACTTGGTAGACTTGAGTTTTAGCATAAGCCCTGTTATTAATATCACCTTGAGAAAATTGCTTGACTTCTCTGAATCTCCGTTTTCTCCTCTATAACTGGAGAATTCCAACCAAATAATCTCTAGAATTCATTCACAGTTGTACACATAAACTCATGTTAGCGTAGGCGCATCTACCTAGTTTTGCACATTTTCACACCCATGAATAGACCACATTGCCATGACTATTGCACTAGGTAAGTGCTACCATCTGCAGTTTGGGAAGGTTTTCCTAGACAGATAACCATTGTTGTAGAGTTTTCTAACTTTTAGCAAAGAGTTTACATCTAGTGTAATACTCCGTAGACTTTGTGATAGCATAGCTAGGAGGCTCATACAGCAGAAATGAAGATCTACGCAGATCCTCTGCCGAAGTCATGAGCCTCTGCAGTCTTTCTACTCACTGTAAATTTTCTTCACTGGAGCCACCATAGGTCTGGCTATGCATAAGAAGGTCTTGGAGCCTGACACTCTGATAATGATGTGAAGGGAGCTTGAGGTAAGGGATTTTCCATGAAGGAGTTCATGAGATCGGAGTCAGATCATAATTTAAATATTACCCTGTTTCCTGGCATTTTTAATTCAGGTTGAAATCTGGCTAAATTGAATTCAGGGGAAGTCTTGATGGGGAAACAGAATGGAAAGAGATGTCACCAGAGGACAACGTGCTGCCTGAAATGTGGAAGAAGGGCTGAGCATTCAGCCACAGTGCCTTTCACCCTTTCGTTCAACAAGTATGGTGGGCCTACTGTGTGCCGGCCACTGTTTTAGCAGTGAGCCAGACTAAGTCTGTGTTCACACGAAATGATGGGAAGCAGACAATAAATGCAGTTGGAGAGACAATAGTGCAGAGGGCTAGTGATAATACACGAATGCAAATACAAGATAATTAGAGGTTGTGATAGTTGTAAAGCAGCAAACAGGTGATGAGGTGAAGGACTACCAGCAGAGGTTACATTTACAGTGGTTAGGACAGACTTCTCTGAGGAGGTGACAGCTGAGCTAAGAAAACCAGGAGAGTGGATGGCAGAGAAGCCAGTAAAGAAGAGTCTTGCAAGGAAGGAATCAGGTGGTTAAGTGCAGAGAGGTTGTGTAGAATAAAGACAGTACCGGTGGGTTTGACAGTTTTGTGACTGCAGTTCTAGCAGAGTGGCAGAAGCAGGAGAGGGCTGAGAGGAAATTGGAGGTGAAAAAGCATACATCACTTTTTCAAGGTGTTTTGCTGTGGAAAGGAACAGAGAAGCAAGGCCACTGAGTGGAGGGAACCATAAGTACCTCAGATCTTTATTGACCGTCTTATTTCCTTTTTCCCTGGGGCAATTGCCTGATTCTCTTAGCAGGGCAGGTGGTTAGGGCAGAATAAAGGGCTCCATTGCCTTTCCTTTCATGATTTTTGCTTACTATTTCCTTCACATGATTACATGATTCTCTGCTCCCTTATGATATCAGAAACTCCCCCACCCCACCCCCATCCCGTCTGTCTGTTTGAAATATTCTGTAGATGAGGTCCTTCTTAGATGCCACTTAACAGTGCTGCCCCCTTGGAGCCGGGGTAGGAAAGAATCTAGGGCTTGCTATTGTCATTCTGTGTCACAAGGTGGCAGAAGAGCTCACTCTTCCCAAAGGAAACCTTGTGCTTGGACAAAGCGGAAGAGTTTTCTTTTATCAATTTCCAGACCCTTCCCTTTTCCTTTGTGTCTCAAAGGCCTAAAAGTCAGCCTGCATGGGGGGTAGCTATACTGTGGGATACAGAGAAGCAAGAGAGCTGCATTAACAAGGCAACATATCTGGGTCTCTTTCTGTACCACTAGATATTTTGACTGGTTTTCGAAGTGTTTAGAGTATTTGTAGAGGAGAGGATTATCTCTCCTGATCTCCTTTCCCCACAGCAAAGATTTCTAATTTAGGAGGGGAAAAAAAAAGCACTATAACATAGGTTAGTTTTCTGATATGTGTAGATGAGAAATGTGACTCTGGAAGATAACTGGAAACTAGGACTGGATGGATCAATCAGGGTGGGTCTGTGGGAGGAGCACTTGACAAGAAGCCAGGAGGTTTACCTAGGTTCTGGATTAGGCTCTGTAATTGACTGAATCCCTTTGAGTAAGTCACTTAACTTCTCTGGCCTCTATTTCAGTTTCTTGAGATGGTTAGACAAGATGATTCTGTTTGTTTTTTTAAAGATTTTATTTATTTATTTGACAGAGAGAGAGTACAAGTGGGCAGAGTGGCAGGCAGAGGGAGAGGGAGAAGCAGGCTCTCCACCGAGCAGGGAGCCAGACGTGGGGCTCCATCCCAGGACCCCAGGATCATGACCTGAGCCGAAGGCAGCCGCTTAACCGACTAAGCCACCCAGGCACCCCAGGCAGACAAGATGATTTTGAAGGCCTCTTACAGCTCTAAAATTATTATCTTAATGTCATGCTCTGCTTTTCTTTCTTATAAAGGTACATTTGGGGTTGGTTGGTTTGGTTTATTTTAAATTCTTTTATTATGGAACGTATCATACATATAGAAGAGTATATAGAACATAAGTATAGTTTTAATAATAGTAACAGTAATAATAATGGGAACACTATGTAGCCATCAGCCTAATGATGAAATTGAACATTGCCAGTGTCGTAGAAGCTGTTTATCTTCTGATCACACTTCTTTCCCATTATTTACCCATGCTTTTTAAAAATAGTGAACTATCTGGTATATAGATCACTAAAAATAGGCTTTTTTATTTTTGCCTGCTTTTGAACTTAAGTAAATGGAATCATTCTTTTATTATGTACAACACAAAATGGATATACCTCTCTTTGTGACTTCTCCCGATTGCTACCTACCATCAGGAGTAATCGTTATCCAGACTTCTACTGCCACAGATGAGTTTTGCCTATTTTTGAACTTTATATAACAGGAAACATACTTTTTGTCTGGAATTTTTGCTCAACATTATATTTGTAAAATTAATCCGTATTTCATGTAGCAACAGTTTGTTCATTCTCATTGTTTTGCAATACTCCATTGTATGAATGCCTCACAATCTATGTACCCATTCTACTGCTGAGACACATGGGGTTTTTTCCAGATTGGGGCCATAATGAACAATGTTCCTGGGCACATATGAAAGTTTCTCCAGAGTATAAATTCAGCAATGGGAGCTGGGTTATAGGGTAGACAGGGGATATTCAGCTTTACTAATTAATGCCAAACTCTTTTCTAAGAGGTTGTCCCCATTTACACTTCTATCTGCAATATATGAAAGTTCCTGTTGTCCCATGTCCTTGAGAAAGAGGCCAAAGAGCCTTTTCAGTGCGGTACAACCATGGGACTGAACAGGGCTCAGAGTGCCAACCCTGAAATATTGGTTAGTTTTCAGAAGCCCAGGCCACAGTCACTTCTCCTGTTTACTTGCTCCACCCAAATGAGGGTAAAGGATTCAAATAATCTCTAGGTCTCTGAGCACATGCTCTGTTACACTGGGAATATTGGCCTTGGGTGAGTGGGGTGGTGAATTTAATAACATAATCGCTCGGGTGAGTGGGGTGGTGCATTTTTTTTTTTTTAAAGATCTTTTTCTTTTTTTGAAAGACACACAGCGAGAGAGGGAACACAAGCAGGGGAGTGGGAGAGGGAGAAGCAGGCTTCCCATGGAGCAGGGAGCCCGATGTGGGGCTCGATCCCAGGACCCTGGGATCATGACCTGAGCCGAAGGCAGACGCTTAACGACTGAGCCACCCAGGCGCCCCATGGGGTGGTGAATTTAATAACATAATCATTCCTGAATGAAGTGAGCATCCATAGGATATTTTGTTCTTGTACTGAGCACTTGTAGGAGATGGAAGGGGGCACAGAAGGCAAAGAGGAAGTGATATTTTCAGTGTGCTTGTTATGTTCCAAGCTCTGTGTTAGAGACTTTACATTTTGGTTATAACATTTCATCCAAAACACAACCTTCCAAGGTAGCTATTATACCTCAGTTTTATAGACAAGGAAACTGAGGCTCAGAAAAGGGGTCATTTGCTCAAGGTCACAGAGCTAATTATTGACAGAGTCAAGATTTAAAGCCTGGTCTATCTAATTAAAGAGCTCAAGCACTTTACAATATAGAACAAGTCCCTGCTGCTCTTGAGGTGTTTTGACTTAGATTGCCAGTTCTCAGAATCAGCTCATCTCATTTCTGCTTGCCTATATTGACCCCCAAAACTATGCTGTTCAATTTATTATGGCCATCTCATTCACTGATTGATTTATTTTTTAAAAAAGATTTAAAATTTTATTTATTTATTTATTTTAGAGAGCGGGGAGGGGCAGAGGGAGAGGGAGAGAGAATCCCATGCTGACTCCCCACTGAGTGTAGAGCCTGATGCAGGGCTCGATCCCAGGACCCTGAGATCATGACCTGACCAGAAATCAAGAGTCGGCCACTCAACTGACTGAGCTCCCCAGGTGCCCCCCATTCATTGATTTAAACTACATTTTATTTTCATTCATTTTTGGTTTCCCTTATTCTTCTTTCTTCCTTTTCATTTTCATTAAGAAAATTCAGCCCATCGCCAAGACAGCAGGTCCACTGATGAGCAAGGCTTGTGTTGGGGACTTGGCTTTCTACCTGCTGGTCTGATGTGTTGACTAGAGGTGAGAGTAAGAAAGGACAGGAATATTGTGAAATCTTCTGATCCAAGTTATGATATAGGAAAACTTTAAGACTGAAGAAAAGGATGAGAGGAAGTTGAGTGATAGCTCACTTTTCCTTGAAAGGAGAGCCTTGATAAAAGTTACTAATGTTGTATTTTATTATTTATTGTGTTGCATACAGAATAATACAGTGGAGAGTGAGGGTATTTGGGGTAGATAGGTGGGGGCCTAAACATGTAGCAGGAAAAAGCTGAGTCTGATATGTAAAGAGTAATGGAGACACTGGAGAAGTCTGAAGAGAAGGTGAGGACAGGAGTAGAAAGTAAACTCATCAGGAACATTTTCATTGGTTTGCAGGAGAGTGAGGTCAGAGATGAGAAAAGTAAAGCTGATCAATATAAAATGTCAAAATCCCAGCATTGGGCAAGACCTAAATGAGTCATCTTGTCCATTTTCCTCCCCTTAGATAAAAGGGCCCTTTAAACGTTCTTTAGCTGTTTAGTTGTGAGGTGTGTAGAACTTAAAAAGATTAAAAAAAAAAAAGATCTTGGAGGTGTTGTGGAAGAAGCAGCTAAGATTAGGTAACCACCAAATATGGATAGGGACTAGGTATTCGGGATTAAGTAACAAGGAGGGAGGGAGAACTGAAATGCCTTGTGAAAACCTAAGTACCCATGTAAAAACCCAAGTGTCCATGTGAAAACATTGTGGTGAGTCTGCACTATGAACTATGTCCTTCATTTTGTAATCCTACCTTTCATCATTAGGACCAGACTTATAATGTGGCTTCCTTGAGGACAGTTTCGGACACTACGGTGTGAAGTTCCCTCAGGCACTTAACTCTGGAGAGACCTGAATGGCTGACTAGAGCAAAGAAGCATAGTGTTCAGATAAGGCCTTCATGTCTTCCCCTTATCTCACAACTGGAGCCACAATTCTGGTCAAGGCACTGACTTTCTTGATGAAGTCTGTCCATCTATAAAGCAGCCAAATATCCTACTGGTGTCTTTGCCTCCCAGAGGTGACATGAAGACGGATAAGCAGACATCAGGAGCAGAGTGGCCTCTCAGGTACAGAGCTAATCTTTATTTCAGTCAGTGAAGCACTTACTAATATCTGTACTCTAAGAGCTACAGAGGGGAGTACCAATCTCTAAGAAATGCTCTCTGCCTTTAAGATTATTAAAATTCAGTTGGCGAGCTAAAACCAACACACACACACAAAATGATAGCCTAATAAATGCTGAGCCGTGTGGTGGTGACCAGATTGGTACAAGAATTCAGAGGAGAGATAATTAGTGGAAATTGGAGAAGTAAAAGAGATCTTCTTAGAGAAAATGGGACTTCCAAGGACTGGAAGGATTCAGAAAATAGGAGGGAGGAAGAACGAGTTTGCTAGCATCACCAAGGTAAGAATAGGCATGGCAAGAACTAGAAGCCAGGTTAGAGTATATGTTATATCCCGGAGGCCAGTGGGAAATAACATCCCAGTGTTTCCTCTAGCCTCTATTGTAAAGGTTGATCACCGACCTTGCTACCTAAGGAATTTGGAACCATGGCCAACCACCGGGACAGGGGGCTCTTCACGATTCCGTTTCCTATTAAGGCACTTTTCTTTCCTCCCTTGGTTTAACTCTGGCCTGACCTGAGACTTTCCTGTCTTAGAAGTTCAAGTGTAGGAGGCATTGCTGTTTAACAGAGACACTGGAACAAAGAGGGAACAATAATGATAAGCCCTAAACTATTGTTCTCAAACTTCAGGGTGAATAATTGCTACTTTAGAAAGTCTGCGGTGGGGCTAGGAATCTGAATTTTTAACAAGCACCTAGTGATTCTATTTCAGGTGGTCAATGGAACATTAAGAAACACTGCCCTACGCTAAAATAGAATGGACAATAAGGTGCCAAAATGGCTTGGACGTTGACACACATACTGTTTATGTATTTCAAGGCTTACTCATATTTGAGAATTTATCCTCTCCCATCTATGGCTTTTGTAAAATCCACATGGCTAAGGAGCAATACATAGACGCTGTTTTGGTGTTTAGGTTTGTCTTCCTAACTAGATTGTAATCACCTTAAAGACAGAGACTGCTCGGGAGTCTTCTTACTTTACCTACAGTAGGGTGAGAAACCATCTTTAAGGTTGGAAAGTAGCTGGAAGGCTCAGGATTAATCCCTGATACCTTCATATAACCTTCCTAAAAGACCTGGACGCTGTTTGGTATTTGGGAACTTGTATTCGTTTTCTAGGGCTGCCATAATAAAGTACCACAAACTGGGTGGCTTAAACAACAGAAATTTATTTCTTCACAGTTCTGGAGGCTGTAAGTCCGAGATCAAGGTGTCTGCAGGGTTGGTCTCTTCTGAGGCTTCTCTCTTTGGCTTGTAGATGCCCATCTCCAGCATAAGAGCCACAGTCCTGGTAAGTGCTTCATCAACTGTGATTCACAGATGGTCTTCCCTCTGTCCTTGTGTCCTGATCTCCTCTTCTTATAAGGATGCAAGTCATTTGGAATGAGGGCCCACCTTAATGACCCCATTTTACATTTTAATTTCCTCCTTAAAGATCCTATCCCCAAATACACTCACATTTTGAGGTAATGGGGCTTAGGACTTCAACATATGAATTTTGGAATACAATTCAGCCCATTATAGCCATCTAGTTTCAGCTTCTAGAAGTGTGCCACTCCATTCACTCTCTTCCCTTCCACCTGTTAGTCTTGTACAGTAAGTTCTCTCCACCCTCTGGCTCTCCTCCTCCGCTTCTTACAGAGGTATTGGCTTGTGTGGCAAGAACTCAGAAGAGTACAGACGAGCCTGTACTAGAGATGGGCAGGTTGTGGCATGTACCAAACAACACAGCACTGAGGAGCTGTTGAAATTGTAGATGTACTGTTTTAAAGACATAGTTCTCTGCCCATTCTTCTTAACATTGGATAATCACTAGATTTTATATAAGTGGTTTGGGGACGTTCTAACTCATCCTTGGTTTTCTTCCACTGTAGTTCTTTCATCAGGCCTTGCTTTGTCTGGTTCTTTTTGGGGCTCAATTACTTCAAATATTCAGTGAAGACAAAAGCAGAGTAAGGGCTTGCTGAAGTTTCACATAAGGACAGTTTCTGAGAGAAACCCCCTGGTTTTGCCATGCTCCTAAAGCTGATAAACAGCAACACCACTAAGAAACACTCTTGGGGCAAAGTTCCTATTATTTAATAGGAAATAAGAAAGGTATATGGAAAGTAAAAGAGGCAGCCTCAAGATTTTTAGTTCTTTCCGAAGTCTTTTTTTAAAGATTTTATTTATTTATTTGAGAGAGAGAATGAGATAGAGCATGAGGGGGGGAGGGTCAGAGGGAGAAGCATACTCCCTGCTGAGCAGGGAGCCCGATGCGGGACTCGATCCTGGGACTCCAGGATCATGACCTGAGCCGAAGGCAGTTGCTTAACCAGCTGAGCCACCCAGGCGCCCCCAAAGTCTTTTCCTTCATGCCAACTTGAGAGGGCACTATTAGGGAGAGGCAAAGCTTCCCTCTTCCTGGGGCCTTTTTTTTCCTAGTCAGTCAAGCCAAACATTTTGTTAAACCAGGACGTTTTGCTCAATTATCTTTAAAGTTTGTTTTATTTAAAAAATTATTATTATTATTATTATTTTAAAGATTTTATTTATTTATTTGAGAGAGTGAGAATGAGAGAGAGAGAGAGAGCACATGAGAGGGGGGAGGGTCAGAGGGAGAAGCAGACTCCCTGCCGAGCAGGGAGCCCGATGCGGGACTCGATCCAGGGACTCCAGGATCGTGACCTGAGCCGAAGGCAGTCACTTAACCAACTGAGCCACCCAGGTGCCCTTAAAAATTATTTTTTAAGGATCTTATTTATTTATTTGACAGAGAGAGAGAGAGAGAGCACGCCTGCAGCAGAGGGAGAGGGAGAAGCAGACTCTGCGCTGAGCAGGGAGCCCTACACGGGGCTTGATCCCAGGACCCCGGGGTCAGACCTGAGCCAAAGGCACACACTTAACCGACTGAGCCACCCAGGCACCCCCCCAAAAAATTAAAAATTTTTTGTATCAAGTTTTTATTTAAATTCTAGTTAGTTAACATATAGTGTAATATTGGTTTCAGTAGAATTTAGTGATTCATCACTTACATATAGCACCCAGTGCTCATCACAATTGCCCTCCTTAATACCCATCACCCATTTAGCCTATCCCCTGCCCACCTCCCCTCCAGCAATATGCCCATTTATCTTTAAGTTCTAACTTTCCTCTGTTCATTGACAGATGCATCCAGTGACAGACACAGTTATTGTGAAATATGGTTCACTGCTCTGTAAACTCCAAATCTTTCCAAATTTCTATTTCCAGTCCCTTTTAAAGTAGGTTGGTAAACTCTTGGAGAAGCCACCAGCTAGGTATTATAAGGAGTCCTAGGTGAATATTATTCTTGTTGACCAATCTTCCCATCTTTCTGCCTCTGCTTCTGCCCAAGAATTTCTGACCTCAGTGTGTATTTCTACCCTAGTCACTTTTTGCCCTCTGGCATAGAACTTCCCACCAAATCATCATTCACCATACCTCTCCAGACCCTTAGCACAAGCCTGTGTAACGATCAGGAAAGTACTCTGGGTGCTTCATTAAATTCCTGTAAGGGATTAAAATCACCCCATTGTTCTGAAGTGCAATTTTCTCCAATTTTCTTTCTTTTCCACCCGATAATTGTATTATATACTCTCTTTCCTGTTACTATTACTTTTCAGCAGCCACCATAAATGTCTTACTATGAAGTAACTGGCAAAGCTAGAGAAATTGGTTGGCTCCTGTTCAATGACTTGGTGTAACCACAATGGAGTTTGGGAGGCACGCTCCAATCTGAGAAATTGGGAATTTACTGCCCTCTATTTTCTCTGCTCAAGGCAGGCAGAAAGTACTGTTGTCCATTGGCATTCTGCCCTTCTTACTGAGCTTCCTTTAGTGAGGCTTTCCCTCAGTGCTTCAGGATCCTGCACCTCAGAACCCTTTGGGGTGGGCTGCTTTGGGGCTGCTGAGCAAGCCAAGGGGCTGGTTGTGTTGTTCCAGAATAGGGGTTAGTTAGCCTGTACCAACTTGGAAACCAGCCTGTGTGATCCTGGGCAATTCTTGGATGCAATGTCCACCTCTTCAGGGGGTTAGTATTGAAAACCATAAGGTCCTTCCAGGCCAGAACACTGTCCTCTTTGGTTCTGGACTCCCTTCCGGTGCTGCAAGTCTGCCGGCCCCTCACTTTCTGCGGCCCAGGCGCCTCTCTACCTCCTGGGAGGTGCACGTGGGGCCATTTCCCTCACCCCGCTCTCCGCGGGGAGGAGAAGGCAGGCTGCCCCGCCCCCGGCCCCGCCCCCGGCAGAGGGGGCGGTGAAGGCCGAGCGCGGGGCGCTGCGACTGCCCGGGACCCGCCCGCCCTCTCGCCGCTGGGCCCCGAATGGCAGAGCGGCGCTCGGACCATCGGCATCGCCTCACGTCGTTCCGCCCCACTCCGCCCTCTCATTGGCTGTCGCCCGGCCCTCGGGACCCGCGCCTCTCCTCGAGGCCCGCCAGACCGCGCCGCAGCGGGGAGCGGGGTCAGAGGTGAACGGCCGGGAGTAACCCCGGACGTAGTCACCTCATGGTGCTCGCACGCTGAGGTGGGAGGCAGGGGCGGGGCGGGGGCGGGGCCGCCTCCCGTGAGGCCCCGCCCCTTCCCCGTGTGCCGGGCCGGCCTGGTGCTGCGCGCCTGTCAGCCATCGCCGGAGCTGCCGGCGTCTCCTCCCGCCCAGCACCGGATCTGCGCAGGGGCTCCCCGGCGCCGCCGGACCCCGGACGCCTCCGCCCTGAGGTGAGGTGAGGGCCGCCTTAGAGCCTGTGATCCGGGACCTGGAGTGGCCGGGGCCCGGGGAGGGGCCGCGGCAGCGCGGAGGGGGGCCGCCTCCCATCTTCCGCCCGCACGCGGCCCGGGCTCCATCCCGTCCCAACCTGTGCGGGGCAGCCCAGCCCTCGCCGCAGCCCTGGGCCCTTGAGTTCCCCCTCTGCGGAGACGCGGAGAGGACTGGGGTCTCGAAGTAGGGGGTGGGAGTTCAGACCCCGGAACTGGGAGTCGTACAGCCCAGGGCCTCTAAGGAGGGACTGGGGTGTCTGCCGGGAGCTCGCCACCATCCCCCTCCCCAACCTTGGTGTGGGCTGATTCCTTCCAGACCTCTCTTCAGTCCAACCCCACGCTTGGCAGAGGGGGAAGACCCACGTGGGAGAGGGATGTTGAGGATTAGGTCCAGTTGCATTGAAAGTCGTCTTCCTCTCGCAGAGTGAAGTGTGGGGTGCAGAGCCCCTGGCTTCTCTGTCTTTGTATCGTGGTGGGAGCCAGGGCCAGGCGAGTTGTCCCTTGCCAGTTCTTGCTCCTGGGATTTTATTATGTTTTCTGTGAGGGACGTAGTCAATGTACATGCCTGTTACTCTCTTCGCGTTTGCTATACTGATCAAGATAAGGTATTGGAGATAGAACGCAGGAAAGTCTATGTGAAGGTAATGATTTCAGAGGGATGTGCGTGAAGGTCCTGCTTCGGTCAGTACCAGCATTATTTTGGATTCGAAGACGGGAAAGTAAACACTAGTGGACCTTTGGAATCAGCCGTAAATATCAGGGACTTCTGTAGGCCTTGTGGGTTTTATAGAAGCATAAGAATATAACTACTCAGGTAGGAGAAATACTCTAATTTCAGATATTTTTTGTTTGGGGCCCTAAGTTTAGGATGGAAATCAAAAGACCCGAGGACTTCCTGATTTTATCTCTACTTAAGCAGTGTTTCTGTAATTTCCCAATGTGTGATGGAATAAACCTAATAATTGGGTCATTCTTTTTTTTTTTTTAAAAGATTTTATTTATTTATTTGAGAGAGAGAATGAGAGAGAACACGAGAGGGAAGAGGGTCAGAGGGAGAAGCAGACCCCCCGCTGAGCAGGGATTCCTGGGACTCCAGGATCATGACCTGAGCCGAAGGCAGTGGCTTAACCAGCTGAGCCACCCAGGCGCCCTTTGGTCTTCATTCTCAGAAGTTGGTCCCCTTGAATCTCTCTTTTCATTCATTTCTTTTTTTCCCCAACCCAAAGTGCAGATTGAGAAGCATGCTTGGGTTACCTGGTTTCTTCTTACTCAGGGAGTAGGAATTCTCTGATTTGCTTCTTGTTGGGGATGCCTTGGATGCCTGTGATGAGAAGTTCTGTGCTATTTGACAGGCACTTTTTTAAGATTTTATTTATTTATTTGACAGAGAGAGAAAGAGAGCCAAACAGGGGGAGTGGGAGACAGAGAAGCAGGCTTCCTGCTGAGCAGGGAGGCAATATGGGGCTGGATCCCAGGACCCTGGGATCATGACCTGAGCCCAAGGCAGATGCTTAACCGACTGAGCCACCGCCTCTTGA